TCCTCCTCCTCCTCCTCTTCCTCTTCATCCTCCTCTGCTGCCGTCACAGACTCTCAGAGGCTGGCCAGACGCCACCTCCCCTCCACGCTGTCCTCCTCCTCGCCTCCCCTCCAGCCGCCGCCGCCGCTCTGCTGCCAGCACTGTCACTTCCACTCCACCCTGTGCTGCCCCTGTGGACAGCAGGAGTGCCCCCTCTTCCAGAACCCCGCCACAGGACCAGGGCCCGGCTCCGTTCCCCACCCGGGGGCCGCTTCGTCCTGCCCCTGCTGCCTCTCCACCTGCACATACCCCCACCCTCCTCACCCATCCTCCCCCCTCGCTCTCCATCACCACCATCACCAGCGCTGGCAGGAGCACCTCCAGAGTCAGACGCATGCAGCCGGGATCAGGTACGTTTTTAAATTTTTTTTAATTTTTACCTTAACAGACTTTATCTCAGATTATTCAACTAAACTGATTGAGGCACCATCATCGTGTGGTGGCTTTTTTTTAGCTCCTGCTCCAGAGAGTGTTTTCTGCACCGCGCATACAAATTGTTGTCGCTCAAGTGTGTTATTATGTTTGACTGTGTGTTTATTTACCTCAAACACACCCACAATTTGCCCAACAGAGGGTCTCTAATAGTCTCCAGTAACCGCCTCCTTGTGCCGCGGTGCTTAATAACATGTCACATCCAGGGGTCGTGTTTGCCTGGAATGCAGTTGGAGGCGTTTCCTGCTGTTGGGGACCAGTGTTTTGGAGCAATGCAGGGGGTAATTTTACCAAGAGTTTTTCCCAAATAGAAGCCCATTACACAATGTCACCGCCAATATGTTACAGAGAACAAAGAGCCATATTAAAAGAATGAAAGCAAGTAAAAATTTTTCATTGTCTTTGACTGATGTAACTCCATAATGAGCGCTTTGTGCCTCGAGTCAAGTGTTTTTCCCGTCCAAAAATGTTTTATGTTTAAAGCAACAACATTTAGTTTTGTTGTGGAATAGATAGAATTGTGGAAATTTCATAGTTTAGGCAAAAGTGTTGGTAGTACCCACAATAGGCATAGGTGTTGGACATGCATGTGATCAGTGGATTAATTTGCATGTTTCCAGCATCATAGAGTGAAATACAGTTGTACCATATGTTACTGCTACTTTCTAACATAACTAGCAGGGCACTTGGAGAGCACAGTCCTCCATTAAGGCCAGTGTAGTGTTTCGCAACTTTAAAAGAAAGGGATTTTTAACCACACCAAATTGAATTGGTCATGCTTCGTGTCTCCACCAAGGTTCATAATAGTTTTTTGCGTAAGCTTGTTTACAGACAAAGAAACACCACTGAAAACATGCCTCGGTGAGGGATAATTCCCTGAACCTCAATGCAGTCACAAGATACAAAGCAGTTGTGTATTCACATGAAGAGGGCATGTTAAAAGCAGCTGTTAGTCACGGTGCTATTTGTCTCCATTTTTTCTTATTCCTTTTTCCCCCTAAATCTGAAAAATGATCCGATCCGTGACGCAAAATTTTAGTTCTGTGATCCTTTTCAACCTTGAATACTGGTTCCCATGCGATACTTGTGTTTCTAATATTTTTTAGGATTTCTCACAAACATTTTTAACTTCAAAACATCTCAAATACGTCACTGTTTAATTTTGCTGGAACATACCACAAAGTCATCGATTGAGCCCCTATAAACTCATCTGTGTGTCAAAGGTACATGTTTAGAAAGGTTTTGCATTAAAACAATCCAGTATTACCTTAAAATGACCAATGAACCAGGCACTGATTCTGAAGAAGACGAAGAATGATACAGAAAGCTTCACCCTGCAAGTTGACAGGATTTTGTCACTGGGTTTTATATGTATGAAACTCTGGAAGTCAGAATCTTTGTTTTTCAGACCATCATTGGTATGCTGCAGTTCCAAGATGGAACTGCTCAGTCACGGTGTTAACTGTTCACTTCCCATGATGTGTCTACTAGCGTACAAAAAACACTGTGTAGACGTGTTAACATGATAGAAAACTTGATTTTTAGTGGAAACTGATTAAAAACAAGCAGACCTAACCAAGTAGACAAAAAATTAGTTTCAGCATTTGGCACTGTTGAAAAAGTTCCATACCAAGCCTTAGCCTAAAATCAATATGACAAATAACTTGACCATAGAAATGACGGACTACAACTTTAGCACAACTTCTGCTTTATTGACGCCTTGTAAAAATGACAAGATTTTTTCTTCTAACAGTTTGTGACAGGTCAGCCCAGTAATTTTGCTCACTGTTTGTCCACTTCAACATATAAAAGAATATGACTCTCTAAGCCATCTTTTTGACCCTTCATAGCCTTTGATACATGGTGAGATTTTCTCCTTGAACACAGCTCCTGTCAGCTCCTACATGTAGAAGTTAGCTGCAGATCGGTGACACACAGTAGGCGAGGTTTTAGCCCGTCGTTGACATCTTCGGCATGTGCATGCCTGCGTCTAAAAGCTGGTTCAGATGGTAATTGCTGTGCTTATTCAAGCGTACTCGGTCGTATTTTGAAAAGTTTTTCATCAGCTCGCGTTTGCCAGACCCTCCAGACTGTTGGGATACAAACTGCCAAAGCAAAGATGAGACGGGAATTTAGCAAGATTTTCTTAATTAAATGGAACCTGCATGCGAGCACACACACATGCAAGCGTATGTGCACACGTGGTGGCCATGCCTTCCCCAGCTGAAGCAGAACTTCAGCTCATTTGTTGGCAGACCTTTCCTCAACTGATCCATATTTAGTGAGTTGGTTCTTTCCCTTTTGCTCCCAAACCGCAGGCTTTTCACCGCATTTGAAACTGGAACCATTTAATGCCTTGCATAATCATTTGCATAATCCTATATTTACCATCTCCGCAGAGAAGGGGAGGCGGCAGGAGGTGCATTTTTTTTTTTCTTCTTTTTTCGCAGAAGTAATTATTTACTCATGTCAGCTCCTTTTTATGGTAGCACATCGTCGCGGGTGAATCTGATTTGCATGAGACTTTATTTCTTCTTGCTTCTCAAACATGGAATTTTCCTCACTCGAGTAAAGTTTGGCTGCCTCCTCATAAGTTTCATTAGGGGCGTTGTGGGTGGCGTTGAAAGATGAGGTTTGTGCAGCCGCAGCGGGTACGTACACCAAAACTCGGTGTGCACACATTAAACCCTGGGTGGGCAGAAGGGAAGCAAAATAGGATTGTGTTGCTGGCATTTAGACGCATCCACCAGCCCCCTCTGCGGTTTTTCTTCCTCCCCTCCTCGCTTGCTGGTACTTTCATTTTTCTTTTTTTTTTTCTTTCTCAGTTTTTCTCTCACTCTATTAACACTCTCATTCTGTCTTCGTTCCCCCCCTCTCTTCGTCGTCCCTCCCGCCTCCGTCGTCTCTCTTTCCACATCAGAATGGAGAGCAGATGTGGCGTGGGACGTCTCTAATGTTGAACCACTCTCTTATTTACCAAACAGGTCCCTCTTGTTCGGCGATGACAGGTTTGAATTACAGGGCTTGAGTTGGTTCCAAAACTGCATCCCCGACTCCCCACCTCCTTTCCTGTACAGTGGTGTTTTGTGTGTGTGTGTGTGTGTCTCAGATGGGGAGATTAGATGTAGGAAATCATATACCTGTCTCGATTGTGTAGTTTTGCCCTAAAAAAAAAAAGCAACCCAAAACCCTCAGACCTTGTCTCCTTTTTCGCCCGTCCAGTTTTGCTGAGGGCTGCTGGAGTTCAGCGGCAGTTAAAGATCCACACACACACACATTCACATTTGCCCGTAAACCCAATACACTGCATATTCCTAATACCCTCGATAATTTGAGGGTATGAAGTCAGACAAGATGGTGTCGAATATCAGTTTGATCTGCCTCGGGGCTGTGATCTGCCAGATTAGCTGAGGGATTACATCTGTGATCACAGCACACTCGCGTCTCGCTCACACTCTCTCACACACTGATAAGTCGTAACATTAGCTCTTCGGGGAGACCTTTTTATGTGCGTTTCACAACAGGGGATTTTTATGCCCCTGTTCTCGGCTTCACAAAACATTAATCCATTTACCGAGATTAGCCCGGCGCTTTGTTTCCTAATGTTTCTATTTTGAGAAACGATCAAAAGCCGCCGGGGTCTTTATCCACGTATGAAATCTTTGGAAAGGTCGAAGCACAACTCAGCAGTTTTGTAAAACGCTGCAAAAAAATATAGAAAAAGTACAGAATCATCCATCCGTTGTGTAATTTTTTTTCTTCTCTCTCTCTGGTCTGTTAGACTCATTAGGAACAAGTTTGCGTCTGCGATGTAAGATTATCTATCACAGCCATTTTATATGTGTTTAAAGTTGGTCGGAAACGGAGCGTCCTTGGGATGTCTGCTGCTGTTTGGCCTCCGTCAGTTCAGCGCCAGCCGGTTTAAAGGAAACTGGTTGAACCCCAGTTTGCCTCTGATTGTAGCTTATTAGCTTGTAAGCTGTTTGTTTCGACACTGAGGTAGAGCAGGTAGTCGTTAAAGAAAGCCCACATCGTTACCCATTGAGTTTTTTCCCTTTCCTTTAGTTTGCTTCATTTATAGCACGTAAATAAGGCTGCAACTAATGGTTATTTTCATTGTTGATTAATCCTTTGACTATTTTGTCAATTAATTTTTTTGGCCTGTGAAATGTCAGAAAATGTTGAGAAAGGTCACTCAGCGGTTCCCAAAGCACAAAATGCCGTCTTAAAATTAGTTTTTGTTCCTAACCCAAAGATATTCAGTTTACTGTCATAGGAAAGCAGAGAAAAATAGAGAGTTTCAACGTTTTTTTCCTTCAAATAAAGTCCTCAAATTGATGATCAGAATAGTTCATAACTAATGTAATAATTGACAACTAATAGAAGAATAAAGTAATTGTCGCAGCTCTTTGTTTAAAAAATCTACAAAATGAGGAAGCCCACACCAAAGATTGGTAAATTCAGGCGTTTCTTCTGTTACTTATCTTCCAGCTTGGTTCGCCTTAAAACAAAGAAAGAGTAGCTTCCTCGCCATCCGCCATTATCCGTCGATTCTACTCGCGTTACGGTATTAAATCAAAGTTACCCCACTTCTGTCGAGTTAGTTGAAATTTCACTTCATAAACATCATGAAAGGATATATATAGCTGTTAAGGATCTGTTTTAGTTGGGGGCCACAGGCACTCATGGTAAAGGTCCCCCTAGAAAGCCATTACCTCTGGAGAAGTGACCTGTAGGAAATATCAAGCGCAGGTTTCTGGTGGAAGTAGCGCCACAGAGCAGCCATCAAGACAACTACACCTAATAAAGCAAAAAACTGAGCTCATCTACAAAGCACCTGTTGAATGTACGCATGTTCTGGCAGCGAACGGTTTGTTCTGCCGGGTTTAGAAGAGGCCACTTCTCCATCTGTGGTCAT